GGTGTTACCAATATACCTCTGTCAGCAAAAACGCTATTAGGAACGAACAGAAAAAAAGTAGAAATAATGACAATTCCAGAAGGCGAGTTTATATATTTAGGTATTCAAAACTATTTCGAATCCGGTCAATTCAGATACTTAGAAGCAGCCAAGGAAATTTTAATTGATGTAGGAATAGATGGGTTGAAATTGTTTGACAGCTCTCGTAGAGTTTTGTGGCCAATACTTGGAGCGGCTTTCCAAAACAGAGTCCCTTTACTATAGCTTGCTTTTCAGGAATGAGCAAACCAAAAAATTTAGACGATTTCTTAAGAGAATTCTGTGAAGAAGTAGCTTCTTTGAGAGCAAATGGGCTGAAAGTGGGTTCAAGATCAGTTCCCAAAAAGTTTAATGTTCGTGTGTTTATATGCGACTCTCCAGCGCGGTCGTTCGTTACTGGCACACAGTATTTCAATAGCAAAAGGGGATGTCCGAAGTGCTGTCAGCAAGGAAAATATATCCAAAATAGAGTATGTTTTTCAAAAGAACTTCATGTTTCAAGAACAGACTTATCGTTTGACCTTCGAACTGATCTATCGCATCATAACTTGAATTTTAGACAAAAGAAAAGTATTTTGGAGATTTATAATTTCGGAATGGTTTCCCAATTTCCACTAGACGTAATACATCTGGTGGATCTAGGGGTCATGAAAAAATTACTTCAATTTTTGATAAAAAAGGGAAATGTTACGCAAATGAACGCAAAAATAAGTTTTCTTAGCAAATTTGTGCCATCAGAATTTGGTAGAGTATCTAGAAATTTAGATAATATTTGTAATTGGAAAGCGACCGTAATACTAAATAATTAAATTAATTAATAATAATAAAATTAATACTTTGTAATAAAAAATCGTACACTTCTGAAGCAAATGTTGCCCAGAAAATAATAGAGGAATTCGTTCACTATTTTGGAGATATTTATGGGGATCATTTCGTGAGCTTTAATGTCCACGGTTTATTACATTTATCAGACTGCGCAAAGCAATATGGCCCATTAGACAACTTTTCTGCGTATAAGTATGAGATTATATGCAGTATTTAAAAAAACTTGTTAAGAAGCCGAATCAAATTTTGCAGCAACTATTTTTACGTTTCAAAGAGAGGCAGGTAGACCATTTAGAAAACTTCAGTGGCACGAATATTGACTCATTTATCATAGATCCAAAAAAAGAAAAAGATTGTTTCTGCTTTAGCCAGAAATTAGGTCCATTGAAAGTAATTGCAGTGGAAAAGAGTACTCCCTATGAAACATATACTTGCCTTTCCTTTCACAAAACTGAAAATTTTTTTAACGTTCCTCTCCAATCATCTCTTGGGTTAGGCATACTCTTAGGTAGCGAAATCGGCACTCAATTTATTTCTGTTGAAAAGGAAGATATAACTTACAAATATTTTTGCATTCCTCATCAAAATAAATTCAGTCTCATACCCCTTTTACATCACCTCTTCAATAATTTTTCAAACTAGCTTTTATTAGCAACTCATTTCGTTAGTTTTATTTATTAAAAAGTATGTTTAAAGAGTACACATTATAATTCAATAATGGATTCACAACGAGATATTTTTGAGCCTTCTATGAAATCGACTCCAAACCAAGGTGAAGGAAGAATTCAGTATTATTATTACTTAAATTTAACTGATTTTCTCATAGGTCAGCGCATTACACAAAAACGATGGGAAACATCCAGTGCATATAACAGCTCAGAAGGCCCCACCACATCCAAAACAGCATACTATGCAGAGAAAAGTAGTGGTAAAATCAATAAAATATCAATAAAATACTAAACAAAATGTATATTATATGAAAACACATCCTTACAGATATATTTAATCTATTGAAGAGTATTTCTGAGAGCCAGACTGCAATAGAGCAGCGGTTAGACAAGATTGAATATAGAATATCTAACGTCGAAAATGCGCTCTCCCAAATCGTAAGAAAACTTTTGCTTCCGATTCAGCTGGTTTGAGCATATTGCTAATAATTAATAGACACAATTATTCACAGTCAAAATGGGACAGTTATCTTGTCACTATATTCACAGTGATTTTCATGTAATATCTTTTTTGGGTATACATTTTTTTTAGCATGCATTAAATGTCAATATAATAAAGTGTAAGTTTAAAGTAGTTAAAAAAATAACAAAAAAGATATTGCATTAAAGTCGTTGTGAATATGTACAGTAAAAAGACACCTGTCCGATTTTGACTGTGAGTAACTCTATGTTACCTAAATATACTTAGGTACATATATATACGAGTATAACTTTTTATTTGAGTAATAGGTTGTAGAACGCAGCGACATGTTGGCCCAGAACCAAATGATAAGGGAGTGCCAGGTTATGCTTAAAAAGGTTCAAAATTCCCTTTGTCTTATGACCGGAGAAACCGAGGATGAAACTATTCAAGAGATTTCTAGTACACTCCCTCTCTTCAGTGTAGACTGCTCAATCCAGGTGGAGGCAAAACTTGAGAACCCCGAGTACAAACAGGCAATGGTAATTGACTATACGCATACACACTTATCGTCGTTTAAAGTACAAAACCGTTCGTCCTGAGAAATACTAGTCTGAAATGCGATTACTTTATAAAACACAGAACCATTTCGACATACGACTGTTTTTACTCTCTACTATAAAATTTGGGCAACCTCACATACGCAGTTTTTGATTATCTTGATACGCGGGTTTTGTACTTTAAACGACGGTATATATATACATATATACACATATGTATGGACGAATGTATCCGTGTGAAAGTTAATTCAAAAATTTTTTCGATATTTTTATCCAAATCAGATAAGCTTCATTTATAAAATAAAGGGGGCAGCGGGAAGCGTGAATGACGTTATTCGGAAGTTATTCACTGATGAATTTCTGCAACTCTATATTGGGACGGGCGGTAGGAGAAAAAATCATTACGCGCGTTAAAACTGGTGGAAGAAATTTTATATGGTATCTAACTTCATTAAATTTAAACAATCGTTTGATTTTTATTGTTGAAATTGTTTCCAGACGTATTTAAAACCGAAGGACGACTAGCATTTGAAAAAAATGTTAAAAAGTCAATTGACCTGGCCCATAATCGGCTTAAACAAAAAATCCGGTTAAGCCAACATAAACTAAAATAAGTATAATAATAATATATGGCTTTAATATTTTCATTTTCAAACCCATTAATGAAGTATTACACAGGGCAACACTGATTTTGATGCGTCTAATGTTAAAGCTGTTTTTCATATACCTTCTTGTGCTGATTACGAATCCATAAGTATAAAGTTTCCATCAGCTCCAGATTTTGAGAAAAACGTTGTGAAAATTAGAAAAAATCGCGTGTTTTGGAATATGTGAGAAGCAGATATAAGTTGATAGAACCTTCCACTTAGGCCTCATTTAAGCCTTAATTGAAGGTTCTATCAACTTTTGTTTAATAGCGATAGCCAAAATCCAGAGCCAAAAATCAGTTTCCACTGTTCAATAAACGACTATAAGTGACCATCGGGTCAAGGTGCAGGGATGGTATTTTCAGGGATAGTAGTCGAGAGTTTTATCTTTAATTGAAGCCTAAGTGGAAGGTTCCATCACCTTCTATCTGCTTCTCAAATATTCCAAAAAACGCGATTTTTTCTAATTTTCACATCGTTTTTCTCAAAATCTGGAGCTGATGGAAACTTTATACTTACGGATTCGTAAGAAGGTATATGAAAAACAGCTTTTAAATTTGCCACAACAAATTGTTTTCCCATTTTTGTTGGCCTGTGTTATTATTATTTTTAAGAATGTGTTTTTCTTTCGATTTAATTTATTTATTTTTGTAGACAATGAGTTTATTTTTATATCGTTTGTATTTTTATAGTTAAAAATAAAATTTTTAAAGATGAAATTGAATTATAACATTTTAACACTTCTATACTATACCTACTTAAATTCTTAAAATATGAACTCAATAAATTGTAACAGAACCACAGACAAATTTTTTGTTTCTATTTAACTTATATTAACAATAGTAGGCCTAACATATACGAGAAGTGTAACTAATAATTCTGGTAGGCCTAACAGATATATACGAGAAGTGTAACTAATAATTCTGGCAGGCCTAACAGATATATACGAGAAGTGTAACTA